GATGAACTATACATTTGTCTGCATCTTCTATTTGCATCACATGCCAAGGGATCTTCAAGTGAAGACTTATTTTACAAAAGCTGCCACCTACAACAGAAACAATGAAAGCATGAAGCTTCCCTTCATGGCATCCAAATCAACCAAATGAAAATTCAGAATATATAAATATATATAATTTTATTCAAAACACCGCCAAATGAGTGACGAATAAAGACATTGTTTTAAAATGCTGTTATTCCAGATAAGAACAGTGGTATACGAAACACCGGTTGAAACATTCTTGTAGATTCGTACACTGAGATGGAGCATTTCATCGAGACGCGTACTAGCACGAGTTGTCTCTTTATATATATATCCAATGTATAAATGTTTTTACTCAATAACACATAAATCCGAAGGTATTTTATGCTATACTAGCAGTTACACTGCCAGCCTTCGTCTGGCTTTTAAATGTACTGTAAAAATGCCTGAAAGGAACACCAAACGTTAAATTTAAAAACTGCGTAGAATTTTACTCTGTAGAACAACTTCATAAAAAATTTTTAAAAATTATTACATATGAAAAAATTAACCAACTTTCCGTTGAAGAAAAAAATCATGCAAAACTTTTTCAATATCTTACAAACAGTGAAATAAGAAAAAAATAATATGAAAGAAACTCAAAAAACAAAAAGTTCCATGCAGAATTTTACTCTGCAGAACACCTTTATCAAAAAAATCAATAAAAATGTATTATATATATATATATATATAAATCACAATGAAATATGCCAATCTCTTTAAAACAGTGACATAAGAAATACGATGAAAATATGTTGCCAAACCCATATTTCTAAAAGAATGAAACTATTCAAAATGATGCGATTTCATCAAAAATTTCTCAACAACAATAAGAAAGGAAAATTGTTGCCAAAATCACATTTTTAAAGATGTGAGATGTGAGAAGTGTACTCGGAAGCTTTATTTAAAAAAATTTTTAAAATACAAAATATTATCATTTTTCCAAAATTCGTTTTGTAAAAGCAGTCGCAAGGATGAAAATTTAACGTATCCAAAAATCAAAGAAAAATAAACTGTACATTTTAAAAAATAAACTTTTTTAGAAAAAATCTCGTTGAAAAGGTGTTAAGCTAACTTTGTTAAATAAACTGGTATTTAATCGATTTATGGAAACACGAAATTTATTTTAAGTTCGTAAAATAGCTAAGTACCTACGTTTCATGACGATGTGAAAAGGGTGTGTGCAAAGTAAAATCTCGCTTTCCTATAGCCCATTATGTCTCAAAATGACGCAATTTCGTCAAAAAAACATAAAATTCAAAACAATTCGTATTCGAATTTCGAAAAAATCGCTTCGAGGTGCTCTGGCTCTTGTGTTGTATCACCTATGTACCAAATTTCATAGCCGTGGGTCTATTAGCTTACGTGCAGCGCGAACGAAAGACACACTGACACATACAGACAAACTCTTTCTTTTATTATATGTAGAGTGTAATACTTCTTTAGCGAAATGAAGCAACTCCAATGATGGAACTCAGCAATAACTTTTATTTAACACTCAAAAATGGCGACATACAAACAAGAAGAGAAACATATTCTAACATTTAAAAATAAATTACATTCTTCGTGCGAGAGTCGCACGAGGCACTCGAGTCTGGTTTCAAATATTGCCATTCACAAATACCTTAATGTTCATCTATTTAAATTATTTAAACTACAAGATTTTAATATTATTTAAAGCTGTTACAACCTCTCCCCCAACGGAGAGACTTTTGCCGAAGGGAAAAGTTCTGTAAAATTAGAAAGTTTATAAGCTCGGCTTGCTGAATTGCTTAAAGAGAAAAGATAACTTCTCTCATAAGTTTCCAAATTACCAGTGTTCAAATTAGTCTTCTTTTTTTTTCTTGACGGCGCCTAGATCTCTTCCATGGTAGACCAGTTCCTCGGCTATAATTCACAGCAAAGCCTTTCCTCAGTTCATCTGTGCCTTTCGGATAATATTCATTTGTCATTTGCTTTCGACAATTGTTTTCTTCGTCTATTAGTAGCGGCTTTGATATTAAATCAAAAGCCGAAAGATGATGATAACGCTGCATTGCAAAATTATTCTCAATATTAATTTCTTTATCGTTTTTTAAATTTTCGTGAACATCTTCCTCTTTTAATTTTGGTGATTTAACTTCTTCTTCAAATACATCTCTGGATGCTTTATTTTCTTTCTTCATCGGTTCCAAGATCTGCTCTTCAAATATTTTTCTTTTCCTTTGAGCTCTAGTCGAAATGGCATTAAAATGGTATCACTAAGTTTACGTTCAAGTGATAAACTAATAAAATAAGGCAGTTCAGTGTTAACAGGAAGTAATAACCTGATATCACTAATATTACGTTCAGTGATGAACTAATAAAATAAAGCAATTCAATATCAACAGGAAGTAATAACCTGGTATCACTAATATTATGTTCAGTGATGAACTAATAAAATAAAGCAATTCAATATTAACAGGAGGTAATAATGTGGTATCACTAATATTATGTTCAATGATGAACTAATAAAATAAAAATACGCACGATTATTCGATCTCGCCGGTGCCTCCAAAATAATTAAGACTGTAATACTTCTTTAGCGAAATGAAGCAACTCCAATGATGGAACACAGCAATAACTTTTATTTAACACTCAAAAATGGCGACATACAAACAAGAAGAGAAAACATATTCTAACATTTAAAAATAAATTACATTCTTCGTGCGAGAGTCGCACGAGGCACTCGAGTCTGGTTTCAAATATTGCCATTCACAAATACCTTAATGTTCATCTATTTAAATTATTTAAACTACAAGATTTTAATATTATTTAAAGCTGTTACAAGAGATTTAACTGTTGAGTTTTGCGTAAATTCAAAACATTTATTATCTTGCTTACTACATTAATACTTTGTATTGCTGTCTGCCTACTGTATTATGAATTTTGTTTTAAATCAAGCGTATAAAGAACTTCAATAAGATTCAGTCTGAGCACTGAGAATTTTGAATACAAAGTTTCGAAATATTTTTAAGTTTATTAGAGTAATTTCTGATCTATTTCCTGATTTCTATTTTAGCGTAGATTAAGATTTCCCCTAAAAAGCGTTTCCAGTTACCGATATGAAATTTACTTGAAATTCTTACTCTAAGTAAATTTCATATCGGTATCTGAAAACGTTTTTGGGGGAAACCTTAATTTACGCTAGTCCATCGTTCCACAATACCTATATACCCCTGAACTGTTAAAGATGTTCATAAATATTTTAGCACTCTTTTTTCGTAAAAGTGCAGTTTTATTCACAATTTATATTAAATTTATATTAATTAAAATACCTTATTTAAATATACGGTTTCTTAACGAAAGCTTCTCAGAAAATATATAATGAATTTTAATCATAATTATGCCCAAAATTTAAATCTGCTTACATTTATTAATTTTGTGGTGACAGGAGCGCTCCCCAAAACTGCTAAATTAGATTAATTCCGAGTTCATTATTTTACAGAGTATGACGTAATGTCAAACAAAACATTTGTCGAATCATTTAAAGCTAATTGTAATTCGCCCTCTGAATATGCTTCAGTTAGAACTACTATAATATCCGATATAATTTAGTATCTAATAACAATCATAAAATAAATAAAACATTTTTACCTCCAAAACCAATTAATGCTTAAAATTTATTTTCAAACATATACGTAATTAAAATACTATAATCGTCTGTTTTTGAAATTGTTTAAACCCTTAATTTATTATGCAGCTGATGTTTCAGAACGTGACATAAAATTTCATATAGTTAGTACCATTATTTTGATTACAGAATAACTCAAACCTTCATGAAATTTTACTTCAAGTAACTTTCTTTAAGCCGAAATAAAGTAACAGGAAACAAACTACTCGTTAAAAATCGTAACAAATAAAATTCTAAAATAAATATGTAAGAACACAAGACCTATGTTCAAGACCTATATAAAAAGAGATTTCTAGTTATAGGTAATAAGATTTGAATCAAGTCTTATTAAAAATTAATTCCCCACTAATTGAATAAAAATAGTTCTGTTGAATAACTATTCTTCTTTTCTAATGCAAATATTTTACAGTTAGATTTATGTTCTGCATATCGTTTTGTGAATTCAAGATATCTCGGAAAATTGAATTTAAAAATAAGATCCTGAAACGTTAAAATAATAGTTATATCTTCACTATATTATTTTCCGTTTGTTAGTTATTCTGGTTTAATGAATGTAAACTCATCGACGTTTATAGCATAGCTGCAAATTTGTTGCTAATAAATGCTTATATTGTCGTCCGCAAGCATTTTATCAAATAGTGTATATTACACTATTCTTTAGTATATGAATAAATCATTTCCTTCATTAATGCAAAAAATTACTGCATTACTGATTATTTCATCATTACTGCAAAAAAGTTTTAAACATTTACGCTGATTCTTAATTTTGGACTTTGTTTTTGATTGTTATTCAGCGTGATATTTAAACTAAAATAAATAAAATATTTAATCAAGAAATAGTAAAACTTTTATTATGGCTTTAAGTTAAACTCAGGTCTATAAGTTCTTTAAGTCAAACTCAGGTACCTTGGTCTATATTTTTTAATTAATCTATTCTACAATAAAGTACCCAAAGTACGAAAACCTGTACTCAATTTTGTTCTGTTGCCATGTGGAGTAACTAAAACGTGATTAGAACATATTCTTCTTTCCACTGAGAAAAAACTCTGTAATATTCTTTCACAGATTGGTTCATAAATCAAAGCTACATTGAAGAAATTTCAGCGTTTTACATGCATTATAATTGGTTTTTCCAGTTTTGCTGCATAAAACGATTTTGTAGCCTGTTAATAACTCCTGAAATGTTTAGTCTTAACAAGACGTTTTGTCTTAATGTATTTCTAAAATTTTCGATAAATATACAAATATCAAAACTAATTGTTAAATAATACTAAACATGCTAGCTTACCTGTCTAGACCAATTACCGTCAAGGTATACACACTTGCGATGACAGAAACGTGCTGCATGAACTGAACGAAAGGGCAAAACATCGGATGAAATATCCATCGTCCAAGCATAAAGTCAGTATAAGTGAAAGGGATTGAGAAAAGAGCCATGCATACATCAGACACTGCCAAGTTTACAAGAAATGTTCTTAGTTCTCTCGATGATCGTTTTCCAAGCAATAAAACTACAATTACAGTAGCATTACCACCAAGAGCCAGGAGAGCTGTGAATGAGTAGAGTATTATCAGGAAAATCTGCATTTTTGGTCCTAGGGCTTCCAATGACTGGAATAGCTCTTCAGAAGTGTAAGTAATATTGGTGGTATTTTGAAAATCTTCCATGATTATTCTTGAACTTAATTCAGATTAGTAAGTCAGTATTTCAAAACCTTCTCAGAAATATTTGGATTAAGGTTTTCTTATTCTAATTATTACATGAGAATTAGTTCCGGAGGAAAACATTTGTCGTGTGATTTTTCTTAAAACAAGCTCTTAGATAACGAGTTGTCATGAAAATATTATAGAAAAATAATAATACAAATTTATAGTAGCTTTAATGATATGTTGATACCATGTATAAAATATTTAGCTTTTTGATAAAGTTATTAGTTAGAAAACTTTCAAAACTATTTTAAAACTAATTTTTCCATTATAAATCAGCACCCTAAGTTCTTGTTTCTTCGATTTATAGAGGGTTATTATAATTAATCAACACCGCATTTCCTTTGCAAAGTTACACGTCTTCAAACTTTCAGTATGTTTGAGTCATCGCTGTTATTTTCCCATAATATTGTTCTCTGATCTTCTTAAATTGGTTTACGGTTCAAGTTCGATAGGTAAACGCTGTATTTTCAAATATAAAACAAGCTTCATAAAATCTTCAGGTGGCTATACCTGCTAGTGGTATCTTAAATTATTTTTGAACTATTCAGGTGCATTAATTTCTTTACAAGATTTACCTTTAAAATACATAACTATGCTTTGTAGTTGCATGCATTATCTTTTGACTAAGACATTCGACTTCGGTGACGTCCATGGAAATAAAATCCAGTTTTAATCTGTCCTGTTAAAATTCTATCATTGCACATTTTGTTCAACATTTTACCCTTTTTTAATTCTTATTTTCATCTTTCATTTCGTTTTCTACACAGATTTATCTTCTTTAGAACTTATGTATATAAATTCCTAAGTTTTCAAAAAATGTACTCTAAATTATATTAAATGAAAAATGGAAATGTTTTTCGTTACCTTAGAGTTACCTTTTCAATTAAATGCTTTTGTATGTTGAATATAACTATGCTTCATATAATATGCCTGGAAATACAACAAACAATGTATAAATATTTTAATATTTTTCAAGATGAGTTCATTGCATTTCATCACACATCTCAATATTTTTAAATAAATTATAAAAAATGACGTATTTTATATTAAGAATTAAAGTTATAATCCAGTGAGTTGTCTAACCGCCATAAATTAGTTATTTACGTTATATTTAAAAGCTCATAATTAAATAAAAAATTACTTGTTTTTAATTAAATTTACTTAGGAAATATTCAACTTAATAAGTGCTCATTAAATGATGCACTAATTTATTAATTCATAATGACTTTTACAAAAGAAAAATAATTTTTTTATTTAAAAAAATTAATCAAACTCTGATTACAATACGCCTCTAGTATTAAATAATTTTAATCTTATTCCTGATTACAAAAGGTGAGAAAACGAAATACATTTGTGAAATTTATATTTTTGCTTCATATGGCCCTAATGATGTATTAGTATTAATATTCGACCTTAATACTACAGAATCAATTATTTAGTACATAATCCTATATAATATATAATATAGATATTAAGATGTCTGAATGTAATAATTTAAGTATCCTTCGAAAGTCTGACTACTTCAGATACATTTGAATTAATTTCTTTAAAACTCTTCCCATCATATATTATATTATTTTATTGGTGACCATCCTTATTCTACTTAGAAAGTGAAAATATTAAACGATTCGATATGTAAATTAAACGAATTGTTTTGCCTGCTGTTAACTAACACATTTCTTATATTCTAGCTTTTAAAGATAAAATAACAAAGATCAGAACTCTCGTTACATAACATTTAGATACATTATTCTGTAACATATATTACTGACACAACTATTATAATTCTTTTAAGCAGGAAGTTTTTATTTTAAATATAAATTTCACGGTACATATAGGGCTTTTTCCAAGTTTAAAATTTGATGCATTTTATACAGATTTTTTATTGTATTATTCATATAATTTTTGGCTCAAAATGTTTGATAAGTGAACTGAAATATGTTTTCAGATTGTAAATATTTTAACATTTAAGGCACAAACTTTGAAATTTTGAAGCGATTCCATATAAATATCTTCAACTTTGGTAGCAGTGTTTTCCCAAATGGAATATGTTATGTTCATATTCCATTTGGGACAAGACAGGGTTGCGGAAATCAGTTTTAAAGTAACTTTTCATGAGGAAAAATAGTAGTCTAAATATACTTACTCTTTCATTATTTAGCATTAATGGGAAATATTTGTAGCTGATAAAGTTCCAAATTAATTAGAACCTCTTTCCCTTAATTTAATAAAATATTAAAGTTTGCTGATATAATTTCTGAAAACGCGAAAAAAAAAGAACAAAAGTTCACAACTTCGTTTTAAGTGTATTTAACTTGCTTGTTGTTCTACCTTGCGCTTGGAACATTTCCAAAATAAAATAAAAATCGAACGTTACCAGTTTTGTGTTTCTAACTCTCCTGAGAACTTTGATTTCGAAGCACCCACTTGATGCACACCCCTCAAATGACTTGCTTTCTCTACCTGCTAACAATTCGAAGTTTAGAGCGGAACTGACACTGCGCGCGATAGAGATACTCCTAAAATTTACCCTAGAGACCGCCCTTGCGCATGCGCAGTCACTGTTATTTCTGTTCGAAGCGAAATCCATCAGTCAAATTTTGCCATTTCTCGTTTTTGCTGAATCTAAATATTCTTTCACTTTTGTTCTGATCGAGAACTGAAGTTAGAAAAATATTTTTCAAGGAAGATATTTCAAGAAGTCATTTCTTAACAGATTACGATGCTTATTACAAATCCTGTCAAATTATATATTTAAAAAAGGCTTTATTAAAAGTTGTATTCACGATAATATTTTCATGTAATATTTATTGCTTGATGCCACTTGAGTGCATTATATATTCTCCTTTATCACTTGTTTCTAAAATTATGCTTAATCTAATTAAATATTAACTTCTTCAGAGTCGGTATTAAATAAATCATTTATTTTATAAATTCGAAAACGTTTGCTTAGTTACATACTTAATTTGGTCCACAAACTTCTGTGAATCTGCAATCTACAAAGTTGAGTAAATATTGAATCTACATAAAGTAAAGATTTTTATGATAGCAATTTAATTCAAACAGAGGGAGCTAAATAATAAAAACGATAGCTAGTATTGCATAGATAGTATTTCTAAATCACAAATGGATATTTATATAAAACTATTAAAAATAATTAAATTTCCAGAGAAAGCAGCAAAACAGTTGCTATATATCGTTAGTAATAATTATTGATAGTTAGTAAAATTCTTCACAGCATATTTTAAGGTTAGACAGCAGTTGATATTTAAAATTATTAAGCATATTTTACAGAAGAAACAGTAAACTACCGATGCGCTATATTTAAGTAATGGAATTTAAAAAAGCGATGATAATTGCAAATTTAAGAAAAACTTCTACATTGTTTAGAGGGTAGGTTAGGAAAATTTGTTTCACTAGTGAATGATTAATTCGAAAAATAATAATAAAAATATTATAGCAATGAATTTTATAAAAATAAATGCAAAATTCATTCAGAAATTACTTAATGATAGAGTGGTCCAGAGAGGGAATAAATAAACTTTTCAAAAAATGTAAAAATTAAACAAATGGGTATTATTGGGAAATATGTTTCAGTGCATAGCATACGTACTCTGTTACAAATAACATATCACATGAAATTTCAGTTACTGTTTACGCTATTTGCTTTAAAAACCGTTTCGTTTGTGCAAGAGGGAAATGAGTTTTCCCAAGAAGTACGAATTTTTATGACTGAGCATTACTTCGCTAAGCATTCTTAGAAAACAATTATTAAACACTTTTAAAGACAACATTCCCAAATATTTATAAACGGAATAAAACAATGATGTTTTATATGGTTACCTGATTTTGAGAAACTAGTAGCATTGACCGTCAGAAGCGAAATGGAAGACGTTAATTTCATAGGTTGGACAAATAATTTGTCTTAATATTGAACTTCACCACATGATATCACACAAAGCTTACAGAAGTAAATAAAAAATACAAACAACACAACACGAAATAAAATAAAATTTACAAATTCCCAGATGTGTGTGTGATTATGGCAAAGCATCGAGGGCTATCTGCCTAAGGGGGAGGGATGCCTTCATGGAGGACTTTCTAAGGTAAACTGGCTCGTATACACGTTATACATGGGGAAAACCACGAAAACGGCCATGCAGCCAGCCCGCTCACCGGATTCGAACCTCGGACAGAACTACCAGTGTTCAGCGACTTTACCGCTCGACCGCTGGTGGGCCTCAAATTCCCAGATGAAACGTAAGAAATAATTATACAGAAGAAAGAAATGCCATGTTATCGTGAACAAACACAGGAAAATTAAATGTTATAGAATTTAGCTGAAAAATTAATTCTTTTCTAGTCTAAATAAATTTCAGCCAGAAGAAGAACAAATGTTTGTTATTTTGCACTCACCGGAAGCTACAGGAACACATGTCCATATGAGATATACGAAATATCTTCAGATGTGAATTGAAATCAAAGTTCCCAGTTTAATAATTTAAAAATTGGATAAAATCTGTTTATTATTGAATCTGCGATGAATAGAAAGCAAAACTAATTTAGTCAGAGAGGAAAGAAGAAGTAGAAGAACTTCTATGTCATGCCTACCTGAGAATAATTTTGCTTCAACTTTATTTCTTTAAGAACGACCTAGACAGTGTCAGCGTGTCGTTACCCCAAAATTTTACATTGCAACTCTAAGTTTTGTAACTTTTTCGCCAACCAGTCATCCCTTTCCTTTCTTACATTTCAAGTGTGGGCACATAGATGAGAGAAGCCAGCATCAACAGCTTTATTATTAAGATCTTTACGAATGAATGAGTGACAATTAATTCATTACAGGTGAAGATATTCACATACGAAGTTAGATGAAATTAGGAATAAAAACGTTGTCTTTACTAACAGGGGGAAGAAAGATGGCATCTCTATCAAATTTATGAGTTTTGAATTAAATTTTTGTAATCATTAATAAAAACTGGATAAACGTCATTTTCATATTGCATCAAGAAAACGGTTTTTAAAGTTAACAGCATAAACTAAAACTGAAATTTCAAGTCATGTATTGCTAGTACCGGTATTTAAGTGCCATCTCCTGAAACAATTTATCATTCATATCCATTGGAAATTTCTATATGTTTTGAAACTTTAATGTAGTTCATGTCCCGATTTCCAATACAAAAATTTCTCACCTTAGCTTTATCAGTACTATTCGATGTTTGCTCTACCAGAAGGCATTATTTTATATTATTTTATTATTCCTGTATAGTCTGCCAACCGAGAGAAGAGACTTGGCACGTCTACATCATGTGGTATCGAACCATCCCAGCATCTTTTTGTAGGTAAACTGAGACTAAAGGCATCTGAATTCCCTCATTCGTAATCTTCTATGTGCTCTTTGCACATCTCTCCCCGCAGTGAAATGAACTATTCTTTCTAACAGGATAGGTTAAGTCTTTTCTTGTGGTGGATAACAATGGGATTGGGATTCACTCATTTGAAACCTTCGATCGGCTCTCTACGCTCCTCTCCGTAGCGAAATGATTCAGCCGAAGTCAAATTTCTTCTTGAGGTTGACGAAGTATAATCAGTATGTTAGATATTATATAGACAGTGTCAAATAAGAATGATTTTGAAATAACTATTAGCTTTAAACTGAAGGTATTGTATTCATACACGTACTTGAAGTGCTTTTATAAAATAAAAGGAATCATTTTTTTGAACTTTCTCTTTCAATTATGAATTCAGTCTTAGAAATTCTACTCCCTCTTCCAAACCTATTTATTATTAAACCATTTATGCATTCCCACGCAATGTACTTTCTGCTTTGACAAAAATATCTCCATTCCAATCTCTCTAAATGTAAATTTCTTTGTTTCATAATAAAGAGATGAAACGAGTAACTAAGTCAGTAGATTTAAAACAAAGCAAAAGCAAAAAATCTATGATTTTAAATGTGTTTTATTTCATTGGTTTTTCCTTACATTGTTATCGAGTATCTCAAATTGGATTTATACTAAAGCGAAACTTAAACGATTTTTTTACATTAAAGGATGCTTAATGGTAAATATAAGTAAGTATTTCTGATGGAATGATGCATTGTCTTCCATAATTAATCTCTTAGGGACCAATTACACTATTATCAGATTAAGATTCAGGGAGCCGGACATATATGTGTGCAACTAATCGAGTGCCTTGATGTTCCCGATCCGTTTGGTCATTGTTTAATTACTCTTCGGTTTGATCAAAATTCGTTTTAGATAAATTTTTCTTTACATTTTTACAAGTAAAGCATCATTTTAACTATGATCTTTTAATGCCCTTATTTGAAAGATTTTGGAAAAACTGCATTCATTGATTATACCTTATCAAATTTTCATTGATTAATTTTGACCCATATCTTCAGTTTGAGAATTCTTTACCTGATTTTCTACTTCGTAAATTTATTCACATAGCACTTTAAAGAGAATGCTTATGGTTTTAGACCATGAAGGCCTAGATTCAATTCACATTTAGAGGAGAGTTTTCAAGGGGCATTCAGTTGTAATAAAACCCTTGAAATGTTTGAACGTAAACGACTTTTTTACATTAAATAATGGTTAATGGTAAATATAAATAAGCATTTCTGGTGGAATGATATATTAATGAAAGTCGTTGGTGTTATAAAATTTGCTAACTGCAAGTACTCTTGAAATATATATCAAGAGTTGCCACTGGAGGTGTATTTTTACAACCAAACACTCTGCGCATTCTAAATTTTTCTAATTTTACTTCGGATTTTTAAAACCTTTTAACCTTTTTAACACTAAATGGGAGTTTGCACTTCATACATAAAATTTAAATATAAGCAGTTGAGAACTAATGATTCAATAATATATAGGGGGATAGCTTCGTAGTCATGCACACATCTAGATATTTTCCAAACTAGATTCTTATTGGACGCAAACTTTTAGAACATTGAAAGGTAATTTTCTCATGCTTTGCGAGTGCCTTCATGTTGTAACTGAACGTTTTGTAGCACGCGAAAACGTAATCGAGAGGTCTAGAATTCGAGTCCCGGTGAGGGCAATACGGAGTTTTGCAATATCTATGCATCGATTAAAATTATCACTCTACAACATGACAGCTTACAGGTTCTGGATGCTTTGCTCATTTCTCCCAAATCATTAAAACTATTTTAAGATTAAAATTAAAAAAAATCAATTTAAAATATGAATCACAGTTATTTTAATAATCATTAAATATTACAAACTGGATTTGCAATTGGAGGTATATTTTTACAACTAGTCTGCACATCCTACATTTTTCTAAGTTTACTTCAAATTTTTAAAAAGCTTTTTAACACTAAATGAGCTTTTGCTCTTCATATATAAAATTGAAATATAAGTAAATAAAATGTAGTTACTTTTTCTGATTCTTAATAAAAAAATTTGAAAATCACTAATTGTTGATTAAAAT